ACTTGACAGTAAGCAACTAGGATAGTAAAAAAAAAAAATTCATTCAATAAGAGGGTTAGGCCTACCCTAAAATTAAGGAACGCTCGACCTCGGCACGTGATATCGAAATGGGTGAAATCGCCTCTTAATATCACTATCTTAAATCTTGTGCCAGTTTCCTCTCATGCCAGAGTGGAAAATCTCCCTCCCCGCCTTGGTCAGACTTATCACCCCACCACTACTGAACTTTCTCTAGCAACACATTCACTAAAACACAAATAGCCTTTAACTTGAATTGGGCGAAGCAACGCTGCTGAATTGGACCTCCTCCGGATTTTTTCCTTTTTAGCCATGTGTCCTTATGCTTGCCTGAACGGTGGAACATGCTCTGGACCGAATACGTGTTCGTGTCCAGAAGGATACTTCGGAAGACGGTGTCACATACGTGAGTCCCTCCTGACACATTCTGAAAGTCTGTCATACTAAGTTTGAAGCAGGAATGGGCAATCATGTTCAAATTCACAATTCACACTTGAATATAAAATCTTGTCCAATGACTCAGTTCAAATATGTTAATACATGTATATTCGAACAGATCTTGATAGTTATTAATGAATATAATGTGATTGCCATTCTTCCTTATTTCTAAGTCTTTACCATGACATTCTGAAGATGCCATATAATTCAGTTCACTTTCAGCATGAGTAAAACTCATGAAACCGTTAACGGCTGCAGAAGACAAAAGAGTGATGCAAAAAATGCATGTTTCGGTTTTCCAAAGCCTCTTGGTCGAATGCGCCAAAGAGATATTTATTGTAGTTTTAGGTATAAGGTAATAGGTATATATATATTATTTTTCACTGAAAAGAATATAGAACAAACTGAAAAAAGGGAGTAACAACAGTGACAGAAACTGCAACAAGAATATTGGATGATACTCGATATGTATCCTGAATGAGAATAGTCGGCCGCATACATTGATTTCATTAAGCTCCTTATATTGGATATTAGAGCATTATTATAATAATCCTATAAGCTATAAGCTAAAATATTTTTAAAATTTGAATAGTCTGAATGCCAATAATAGTGGGCCGTTAAGAAGGTTACATCTCATTACAGCTGTGTGCAATCCACCATGCCAGAACGAAGGATACTGTGTGAAACACAATATCTGCGTTTGTCCAAGGGGAACCTGGCAACCGGACTGCAAGAAGCCATTATTCGCCTTGTAAGCATTCGCATGAGGACCAATATCTTCCTAGGTTTTCTCGTGTACTGTGTCTAATTGCAAGAGGAATTTTTCACAGGAATTCCCTGCGGAGGCCTTGAAGATTCACCGAGGAGCTAGTGAATGCACTGCCACGGTTTACTTACAAAACTAATATTTGTTGTTTTTGCGACATGTATAATCGGACCAAGCGGATTTAATAAAGAAATTCACGGTTGAGACTATAATCGGTTTGTTTTTCGATCCGAATTATATATGATTAAATAATTAAATTAAAATAGACGTACATAAAAAGTACAGTCAACCCCCGATATAACACCGCTGCTGGTCATTGCCGATTTTGGCGCTATGGCGAATTGACAGCATTCCTCATATCTTTTTAGGGAGATTCGTCCGCATGTAGAGGTTGGCAACAAGAAAGGATGGTTTTATACAGTGTCGGTATGATGAGGGTTGGCTGTATTGCTTTCACACTACTCACCCACAATATACCGTATATCCAAGCCCAGATCAAGGTCATTATTGTGTATCATATGATCCCATGACTATCTTCCAAATAAGCTATTGTGATGTCATGATGTTGATACTACAAGGTGATGGAAAAGTCACCCTTTTGCATGCTTCGAGAAGGCGCGTATATTTATTTCATGCATTGGCAAATAATTTTATCAGTGTACCAATAGAAAATAGAGCATTTTAAAAACCAAAATGTTCGATCTAGATAAGTGCTAAGTCGCGTTGCTCAAATTCTCAGAGTGTGCGTAACAATTTTCGAAGTCCGAGATACTAAAAATGAAACGGCAAATAAGTTCCTCACCTGAAAGAGAGATAATAAAATTGCCAAGTGACTTTCTGATGGCCGGACGTCTTGAACAAACGTAGATCGGGGCCAGCAGCAGCAGGAGTGGAAAATATGGCTCTACTATCAATCTCAATCAGGAGGGAAGCATAATGTGGACAGCACGAAACTCAGGAAGACGAAACCACCCAAAATGGTCACTGGAAACGAAATGTTTAGCTGTTTAAAAATCCAGAATGAGAGTGTTTAGAAGGATATGAGAGGCTTACCAATTTTTACTGAAATCTTTTGAGCAATCATTCGACCTCCAATGATGGCTAAGGCAGTGCTGAGTCCTTGCCCACAAAAGCTTCCCAATCCCACTCCCCATACATTCTGGTAATTGGTGGAAATGATTTCTTTATAAGACGCTTGGAATCCGAGGCCGAGGAAGACGAAGGACTTCACCTGTCGGGCTGTGAGGGCGATGGTGGCCAATTGTGATCGATCGCCCCACTCGGACACGAACGTGAGGGTGAACGATTGAATGAGGATCCTGTGGTAAAGAGGCAGAAATGTCTCACTTGCCCCGGCCCTCGCTTTAAGTCGCAGAGATTCCTGTGTCAGAATTAGAAATCTTCCATTGATGAAATTCGAATCGGCATGGACACATGAGGCTCGCATTCTCGATCACCTCTTCTTTCTTCTGGAGATCTGCCTGAACTTCCTCGAACTCTTCCTGCCCTTCATTCCCAGACATTTCGATTCCTTCCTGCAACATCTTGACGCCAAAGAGAGCAAACAAAGCGGCAGAGGCATACTGCGTGTAAACCTCCGGAATGACGGTAGCAGCGCATCCAATTACAACTGTAACAGACAAGTACTTCGAGATAACGAAAGCGCTTCGAGAGGCCAAAGGGTCTTAAAACCCAAATCCATGTATGCTTACCGGCAAAAAGTGTCATGAAGGTAAGAGCAAGCATTGCTCCAGAAAAGACTGCGACTCGCGGATGTCTCATTGCCATGATTGCAGCTATTAGGAACGTTTTATCTCCTAGTTCAGACACGATGTTCACTGACAAGGAAGCCACAAATCCGTGGAAAAAACTAGCATCGTGATCAAGGAATGTATGAGGAGCTGCCATCGTGTCAAAACTCTTCCCGGAGACAGTTGATTGCTCAATATCACATATTCCGCCTATGGGAAATCGAACAGCGTTGTTATTCGCTTATTACAGAAGTGGAAATACAAAGTGGAAAGACGACATTAAAACCAGTGAATAAAGACATGAATGAAATTTCTGACGATAGGAAGAGAATAACATGAAAAAATGCTTCCACTGGAAAACAACCCGATCTTATGGCAGCAAAAATCTAGCTGTTTGAGTGATAGGCTGCTTGAGTGTGGATTCACGCGCATTCACATCTGATGTGAATGCGCGAGGACACACGGTCTCTAAGTATACGCAGCTCCCTGAGCAGACATTTGGAAATGAGGAAAGAGAAGAAGCGCATCGTCCGTTCTGGAATTGTGAAACGGAGATTGACACAAGAACAGTGGTTCCCAGACATTCAGCATCTTCTCCATGCGAGGAAAACCCCGATACCTTCACAAAGCACCTCACAAGCATATAATGAATTATCCACCTTCGAAGCAGGATCCGCTACAGTGAATGCTTCAAGGCAGGGTTGGCACGTGATATAGACCCGGTCTCGGGATCGATAGAACGCATGCTCGTGTCGTCCCTTCTACTAGAAGCGTCGTCGGATCAAGCCCCGACGCGCAGAAGCTTTCATATACGGGGTGAGACAAAAAATGCGCCGCTCTTTGAAACTCTTTGACGTTTGATAGACGGCAGATATAATGAAACAAATTGTTTTGCTAATTACTTCAATCTAACCTCTGAACATTCCAAAATTCTCGTTCATTTTTATTAAGCCAATTTTCCGAATGAGTGATTTTACGAAATCTGCTCGAGTGATACCTTGCTTGAGGGAGTCCAAAGACGAAAACTTCTCATGCCGATTCCTGTAAACAGCCTCCGACAGGACTGTCCAGATGGAATCGTCGAGCGGGTTGCAGTCGGGGGAATTCGGAGACCATTCGGTGTGTTTGATGAACTCGGGAGTATTTTGTGTCAGGAAATGCTGTGTTGCCCGGGTTCGATGGGATGGGGCATTGTCTTAGAGGAAAATGTAGTCATCGTTTGGGTACAATGTTCTGCGGGATGGAAGAAGCACCCTAGGAAAAAATTCCCGCTATAAACAACAATCAATCCAGCTGGAAAAATCCAACAGTCCTAGCTGGCAACAGCTGGATTTCCAGCTGGTGCGGGTCGTAAATTGGTATGCTATTTCTAGCTGGACTTTCCTGCTGGATGAAGCTGGGAGTTTCCAGACATAAACCATAATATCTCCAGCTGGATAAAGGAAATTTCTCGTTGGAAATTGTCGCATCTCCAGCTGGAAGCAGGAGAGCTCCTGCTAGAATTTGCTGCATTCCTAGAAGGAAGCTGGATTGCTCTTGCTGGAAATTGCTGGAATTTCAGCGGAGCGCTGATACAGAGTGGCACTGGTTCTGGAAATGAATTTTAAAATCATCTGGATCCCTGCCCAGGTAGCACAACGTTAGCGGGTCGCGCGCTAAATCTGGGAGATGTAGGCAATGGCTCCATTTATAGGCCTTGAACTGACATGGGAATTTTGATACAACCAGTTAAAATATCAATAACAAGACTGCTTTACTTCATTTTGGGTCCTGCAAGTCATTTCAATATTAAAGTCTGTCTTTTAAATCAATTTTATTTAAAAATAGATACGGAAACCATATCACCAGGAAACTCTGGTTTGCTGGTGATCAATTGCTACCATGGGCAACCTGTCTCTGTCACCATAGGATGTTAATTGTATCAAATAACAGACTTTAGCATGTGTTGTACATCATCAGTACACAAAGAGTACACAAGAGCACAAGTTCTTGGAATTTGCATTGTCTTGTGATTCAATCCGTAATCATCAGGGACAGCCAAAATGGAAGATGATTAGATACACTTCTAAGATTCCTGGACTCCTGATCAGCGGCACTATTCAAGAGTGAACACATCTCCTTTGGATTTTGGCACTGATTCTAATATTTGTAGCAGTTATCAACAGAGGTAAATACTTGACTCACAGAGCCTGAGAACTCTGTGACAAGTTGTTACAATGGCACAAATTTCAAGCTGAGACACTGGGCTTTTTGGAATATCCCTGCAGTAAAGCAAATCACCTTAGCAAAAAAATTGCAGCAGTAAACATTCAAAATGGGCTAGTCCATAGTTTAGATCTAAGCCTATATTATCATTGCCTGCAGCGAGAACAAAAACACTCATACAAGGTTCAAGCTCAGGCCTATGAGCGGACATGACAACAGTTGACACCAATGGTTTTATTTAAAAAAAAAAAAACTGATTTTTTTTTGTGGCTAAAACCTACTTCTTGAAAGCCCTGAAAATTTTCCGTTTTATTCTTCCTGGTCTGCCAAAAGACATTTTATAAGTCCGACAAGACGACCTATGAATGAGCAGAATGACTAGCCCAGCCTCTATTGGGCATGACAGCCTACCCCCGTAATAAAACCGTAACATCTTGCAGACAGGCTACCCGGGCAGCACTTCAAGTGAACCGGAACAGGACGGAAGAGTGGATTTGAGCGTCTTCGATTTCATCGGGAGTGATGGCAGACTAGTCTATCATGCAAACTACATACGCTTTTTGCGAAAATATTTTCACCTTTCTTGAATATGCTAAACTCCGAGAAATTCACGTTTTGTCCCACGAAAAAAAAAAAATTGTTTCGTGGGACAAATGTTCCTGTCACAGCATTCTCTCACTTTTCGAACAAAATGTAATACACTGTTTCTGGATTGAATACGTATACCACTTACTGGAGGAAAAAGGAAGGAGACAACTCAGATTGTTGGTGCCATCTAGATGAAATAATTGCCGCCATTTTTGTAAAATTTGGCTTCATAGTTTTCTGTATAGGTCTGTCCAGTTGCCAATGCAAGATCTCCTGACCACTGATACTGAAATGGACAGAACTTCATATATGGAGGCCATGCATTATGAAGGGGGTGTTCCAAGTTTGGATTATAGCTCCACCCCATCCATTCTCAAGATAGCAGGCAGTAATAACTGCTCCGTCTTCCGCAGAGAGTACCATCCTCATTGATAGACTAAGGGGAACTGACGCAAAATTGATGCGGGTAACGGGCATCAGCCTCCTTCCTCCCGTTGCTCTCCCGGGCAAAAAAAGTTGAGTCACTTTAGTGACATGGCTAGAGAACGATGAATGAACGAAATGAAAGAAACCCTTCTTGAAAGTCTGACAGAAAAAAAACTAATGATATATGCGCCCCAATTAGAGATGAGAGTGGTGGTAACATTACCGTAACGTTACCGGTTTACTGGTAATTCCCGCAGTGTTGATTACCGGTAATATTACTAGTAAATTACCAGTTAATCACTTTGTCACATTTTCAGCCTTTTTCCCGCTAGAAAAATGCATACTATCTTGCTGTATTAGTTTTTTTTTATTGCCGGAGAGAGTTATCCAAGGCTTTGTGATTATGTTATCGTCATTGACGATAACAGCATTGCAGCATTTCTACATGTCTTTCATGTTATGCTGAGAAATTAATTAGAAATTAATTAGTACAGGGATTTTCTAACCCCTGGCCAATCCCTGTCGAAAATTCCGACGGGATCCAGTTCGTGTTTTGAATGGAACTAGCTGGTAACAGCTGGATTTAGCTGGTATTCCTCACCAGCTGAGAAGCTGGAATTTGCTGGAATGGGTGCAGAAACTTTACTTTTACTCAAAGAGAATAAAAAAGGAGGGACTTTTGTTTGTGAAAATCTGAAGAGGTAAGCATATGCTTTTACGCTAAATTGCAGAAAGCACTGTATTTTAAATCTTATTTAGGAGCTTTGAAGACCTAGATCTGATCTCTGATGACCTAGATCTTTGGAGATTTCTGGTGTACCAATTTCGGTACACTTGAATGATGACTTAGCTCATCTCCAAGCTGGATCATGCAGTCTCCCACCGAAACCATCTCCAATTCCAGCCTGGATCAAGTAGTTTACCAGTCGGAAACCAGTTAGATTTCCATCTCAGAATGATATGGAAAAGGTCCAAATTTACAGATGGAACCATCTAAGATATCCAGCTGGAACTTAGCTGGATCCAGCTTCCTGATCCAGACTGGAACCGTCAGCTGGAATTATTGACTGGGATAGTCTTTGAATGTTCAAATCCTGTTCAAATCCGCAATAAATATGTTGGCGGCTATGACACCAAAGATAAAGTATCGCGCTTTCGTCCTATTTCGTTTTTTATGTCGATTTTAGGAAATGTACATTATTTAGCAGCGTCACTTCAGAATTTTTTTTAACCATTCACGGTCTAGAACGAATGAAAGTATGAGGGTGAATCTAAGTGACGACCAATGATTTTTTTCTTGCCACCTGTTTCATGCAGTATCAAGCACACGTTCATTTGCCAATACTGAGGGGTCAGTATTGATGGGAATGCCTATCCTGCGAAGTCTTTGGTCGTGGATAGAACACTTGGGAAAATAAATCAAAAATTACTTTTCAATCCAACCTATGAAAAGAAAATACTTAAATGTCTCAGAAAGGAATGAGTGTCCCGCCTGTTCCGACTAGGACCGTATTTTCACTAAATAGCCCTGACCCCATTCAGACTGGAGTCGGATGACTTTCGTTGGCTTATTCGGGTGTGCGTCGGAATGTCGAATGAGGAAACCCAGAAAGGTAGTAATGTCGAAGGGCAAAAATGTAGATGTCATGAAATGTCGCTTGTGCTTAATGTCGAATGGAATGGAACCAGAATTCTAAAACATCGAAGAAGAGGAAATGTCTACTCGTGTCGAATGTCGAAAGATGTGATTTCTCACAGATTGATCCCTCCATGGGAGTGTGCAAACTTGACTTAGTTGAACGATATGGGGCGACGAAGGGACGAAGGGATTGGTGGAGCTATTCGAACGTCACTGTGTATATAACTGGAAAGTCATGAGATCCCTTTCCATAGAGAGGTGGCATCGACGATTTTCTAGTATTGTTTGAAAACTCATCCTAATGTCTTCCTCATGATCCAAGAACTCCCGGAGGAGAATACACAGATCAGGAAATAGGAAATTTGGAAACTGGGATTCCCCGGGAAATGAAGAGGAAGGTGGAAGAAACTCATCATCAACAAATACGGTCTGTTACCCTGGAATATCGAAACAGAGACGCCAATAACTTCTTGAGTGCGATTGCATACAATGTGAAATATTGAATGACCAACTGCAATGATGGTCAAACTTTACAATCATGATTTTGAACGATTGTTTTCCTGAAATCCATGGAAAAATTTGACCGAAAAGTGCTCCGCCTAACGAGTGCATTAAAGCAGTCCCATTCAACATTTACTCCATGTGCCTTTTCTCCTCTCGACATTGCTGTATTTCTACATTCTCTCCATCGAAATTTTTGCCTTCGACTAGTTTCTTGTCGACATTTCTTCTTTCGACATTCCGAAGCGCACCGGGCTTACTCGTCTCTGGTGAGCTCCTCTTTTCCCGGCAGCTTCGTATGTTGCACGCATACACGCGCAAATCAAAGCTAAACCTAATTAAACGATTCCTTCCCCCACCAGAACGATTTTTTCTGTTCTTAAAATTTTTTTTCGAGCCATTTGGATGCGCGTCTGATTATTGACGGAAATATTAATGAAGACCGGAAGGTCGAGAGGGCAGGAACCGGTCAGCATATATTACCTTTTCTTTTTTTCATTTCCAGATTTGACTTGTTTTGGCGCTTAGAATGTCAAAAACAAAAAAGTTCCACTAGCTGTCTCATTCTCGGTATCCACATCCCTAGTTGTCTGCCAAAGCTTGTCTCTCAATATTTCACAAGTGCGTTGCTTTAGATATATATGGCTTCCAAAAGAGGATATTGAGAATAAAAAAAAAAAATTTAATATGGCAATTTTGGAGTACTGGTAAACTAGTGGTAATACATCGGTAAAATACCCGTAATTACCGGTAAATTAATTGTAAATTACCGGTAAGTAATGGCCTCTACCTTACCGGTAATTTTACATCTCTAGCCCCAATAAACACCCAAGGCT